TCATTGGCCACTTCACTGCTGAAGGCCCTGCTGCCACGCCACCCAACACTGCTGTCGCCTCGGGCCCCCCTGCACCTGCTCCTGCACCTGCACCTGCACCTGCTCCTGCTCCTGCTCCTGCTCCTGCCACCACTGCTGCTCCTGCTCCTGCTCCTGCCACCACTGCTGCTCCTGCTGCTCCTTATCCATCTGCGACTGTACCACCACCATCACCACCATCACCACCACCAGCAGCAGCAGCGCCGCCAGCGGTAGCAGCACCAGGTGCGGAAGCAGGCATGGATGCGGTGCTGTCGTCGCCAGCTGTGCACAGCCGGCTGGTGGCAGAGACAGCGGAGAAGATCACGAGTGACCCCGCCTTCAAGAGCGCCCTCGCCACCTACATCGCCTCGCTGCTCTCCACCCAGTTCCCCGCCACTGCTGCTGCTGCCGGCCCCACTCCTGCTGCCACTCCCACTGCTGCCCCTGCTGCTGCTGCAGCCCCTCCTGCCCCTGCATGCAGTGCTGGTGCCGGCACACCAGTCGCAGGCGGCTCTGCAGCCATTGCACAGCAAACCGGGCAGGCTATTGTGCAGGGCCAACAGCAGCTGGTAGCATCAGCTCTGCAGCAGCAGCAGCAGCAGCAGCCACACCAACAGCAACTCGTGCCCCAGCAGCACCCATTGCTTCTCTCCTCCCCCTCGTTCGCCTCCTCCCTCTTCCCCATGCTCGCACCCACCACTGCTGCCGTGCCTGCCACTGCCTCGTGGCCGTTCGCCCCAGCCACCCATGCTGCCTCCGCTCCACCGCCACCCCCCTCAGCCCTGCCAGGTGCCGTGGGAGCGACTCATGCGCCACGGGAAGGTGCAGCGATGAGGCCCGTGCTGCCGTCGCCGTGCAGCCCCGCGGCGCTGCTGCCCTCCCCACTTGCTGCTCCCATGACCCCCGCGCCCTCGCCTCTCGGCTTCTCGCATCTCTTTGCGCCTGCCTCCACCACGCCGCTCGACCTCTTCCCCCAGGTGCCACTGCCACTCTCACGTGTCGCCTCAATTCCGTCCTGCTTTTATTCCTTCCTCTCATGCCGCACTTGATTCCTCTTCACTTGTTTTGCACCAAACCCCCCCTCCCACCTCCCTTCTCCCCTCGTGGAACACCCATGCTGCTGCACGCACACCACTGCGAAACGTCCAACCATTTTCAGCTTGTGTGTTCTTTCTGATTGCGGCGGTCTTTGCGCAATCTCCCTCGTGCTGGCTTGTTCTTGTGCGTGCAGGTGGCCGCTGCCAAAGAACCATCCAGCTCACCCAGCTTTCACTCTAACGCTAATCGCTCCGACTAGCAACGTGGCCTTGCATTGCAGGGAGATGGAGCACCTTACTGATGATCTCCAGTACTTCATGTCAATCCCTTACATGCTATAATCCATCTCTTGGGCTGAGTGCAGCCCAGGGATCTTATGCAGAGACCGAGTCATTTGTAGGTAGAGTGCTTGATAGCATAGCGAAAGTCTTACCGTATCCACCCGGATAGGCGCCCCCCGGGGGATAGGCCTCAGGGTTTCCTGTAATCATCTGATGGGGCTTATGTGCCTTATTTGATTATAAACCCAACCCTGTCTGAGGTACATTTGCCATACAGGCCCCTGAGGCTTTAACGCCTGTTCGCCATAAGATGCATTGACTAATGAGCTCAGCTACACAGTACATAAGAAATTAGACTAGCTACTAAATGTCAAGTCTACACTAGGTAGGTTTCGTCTGAGCCACTTTTCCTAGGCATTGCACTTAATCTACATACCTTACATTACACTCTAACAAGTTTTTCAGTAGCAAACTACTGTACGATGCTAGTGAAGTGAACATGCCCTACACACCATTCCCCGCGTCTACCACGCGAACAGTTTGCATCCTAGCCCTCATCCTCATCAGCCATGCCATCCTCCACCCCATCATCCTCAGCTTCGCCGCAGCTCTCGTCATCGCCATCGTCACCCCCCTCGCATTCACCATCGCGGCCCTCCTCCCCATCATCCGCTTCCCCGCCACCAGATCCATGGGTCTCTGCAGCTCCGGAGTTGTCTCCAGCATAGCCAGGGGCTGTAGCGTTATCGTTGATGTCGACTTCGCTTGGCACGTCATCACGCATGTGCTTGAGCACCTCTGAATCCTCGGAGCCGTCAAGCGCACTGGAAATCCCCCACACCTTGAACGATTTCTTGATCAGTGTCGTAGGCACTGCTTTCCATGCCTTAGAGCACCACTTCAAAGTCTCCTCTGGAGGAGGCTTCCTCAGATTCCCTACCGCGGAATGAGCGGGCGTTAGAAATAGCCAAGCGCATATAATCAAGAGAAAACCACGAGGTAAGCAAACGGTGAAAAACAACTCACCCTTGGGTGTGGCGAGGTTAATGCCGGTGTCGTCAAACCATTCCTGATACTCTCCCCGGACATGCGCCTTGTAGGACTTGTTGACACACACGTCCAGCGGTTGAACAAGGCTGGTGCAGCCGGCGGGAATGACGGCGGGGATGATGCCTTGCTTCTGCAGCTCCTCTATCACACGAGGAGTTAGGTGTCCCTTGTAGCTGTCGAAGACAAGGATGGCTGTCTTTGCGCGACGCCCGGAGGTTGGCCTCAGGTAAGGCTTCACCTCTTCCCGCAGCCATGCGAGCACTCCCTCCGCATCCATCCACCCATTGACCTGCGCACGCACAACAACATCTGCCCAACATTCCGAACAAAAGAAGAGAGTTAGTTTTTAAACATAGACTAACCGAAGCGAATAGCAGAACACTGCAGCACAACCATTGTGGACACACAGCCACGGCAAGTGGATAACTGACCTTTGGGGAACTCTCCCTTCGGCGGGTTCTTGCGCTTGAAAAACACCCACGGCTTGAGCTTCTTACCGCTGGCGGAACAACCCAGCATCACAGTCACGCGTTCTTCTGGTAGCCGTAGGTGCGTACGGGGACAGTTCGAGCGCCGACGTGGTCGATGGTCCACTCGGAGGGCATCTCGAGCCAGAGTGGCATCTGGTCCACGTTCAAAATCCATGCATCGTCCACTCCGTGTTCCCGCCGTGCCTGGCGTACGAAGCGCGAGAAGCTCAGAACCTTGTCTTCACAGTCTGCTGGATAGGGCGGGCATGAACAAGAGCAGCACCTTGTTACTCTCACGCAGTAACACGTAGGAATTTTAAGAATTCGACGCATCGACGAGACATGCAAGTAGAAAACCAATAAAAAACCTACCAGTGGTCATTTTCTGACCAATTTTGGTCTTCACGCGCACCGTCAGGTTCCAGCGCCCTCGGAACAGCTGACTCCAGTGGTAACTCCCCTTCCACTGCTTGTCGGGAAACATCTCCCGCATGATGCGGCGGCTCCACGTCATTAGCTGCTTCACCGAGACCGGGCAGCCTGCCTTTCGCTTTTCCAGGACCATCTTGTACACCTCGACTTCCATGTCGTGGTACCAGGAGGTCCTGCCCGCGCCATGAAGCCGTTTCTGTGCTGGGTGAGAAGTATGCAGCGCTGGTTCCGGCTTCAGCCAGTCGCCGCCTCCTGGATACGCTTCGGCCCGAACTTGCCTTGGCGTGCCACCTCACGCTGCGACATGCCTTCACGGTACTTTGCCAGCCAGTAGAGCTTCTTGCTGCCGGGGTAGGAGTTTCTTTCATGGCCGGACCTGCGATTTCTAGGGGACGGGGGGGAGGAGTCTTTGTTAGTCGCCTTCGGATCCTTTGGAGACTTCCCCTTCGGGAATGTCGGGATGGGAATCTTTTCAGGAAGACCATCCCGACTCCAATACTCAACGTCGGCATCAGGAAGGACCGGCGCCGTCAGCCTCAGTCGGAAATGTGTTATCCGTCGGAATCCAAGTCAGGACTGAGATCATAGCGGGCCATAGCGGCGCAGGTGGAACAGGGGGCGCCAGGGGGGCAGGAGGAGCAGGCGGTGCAGGTGTGGAGGGAGGAGCTGGTGGTGCAGGTGGCGCGGGTGCTGGTGGTGGTGCAGGATAGGGAGCATGGTGACGTCTGCCCGAGCCAGCGCTTAGGCACGTGGGCTGGCCTGGACGACCGAAAAGGACGGAGAAGACGAAGACGGGGGTTTCTCCCATAAACGACTATCCTGTCTAAGTCTACGAGGAGAAGCGGACTCATGAAGCTGAGAAAAAATACACAAATGGTACACCAAGAAAGGACCCCATCGAATCCTTTGCGGGTAGACGGCTCGATAAGAACCCCCACCAAGGCTGTCATCGATGAGGAACCCATGCCAGCATCAGCGAAAAACGTGCAATGCTAGCAGGTGGGTCCTCGACACGTCCGACCCGATCCTGTGGTTCCCCCCTGGCGATGGCACATGCGAGCACCTTCGTGGCCAATCCTGGGGAGCAGACCTCGTTTGGGTTGGCCACCACATCCATTGCACTTGAGAGAGTGCGCCTATTGGGCCGCACAAAACGAGGGGCGCCCAGCGAGGCAGCATCTTCCTAATGCATCTTTACTAGAATCTTCCGTGCCTCCCTGGCCGAAACGCAACGCATTCGTTACCATTTATACGTAGGTACTATTCTTGTATATTTTTGTATTTGTTTCTATAAATCCGTAGCTTTAGCCCTGGGGCTTATTTAAAAAATAATCAATTAAAAGCCCCATTAAAAAAAGAGCTGTCCATCCTACACGCCCCTAGGGGCGCCTATCCGGGTGGATACGGTAGTTGAATCCTTGCACTGGTGTGTGAGAACGAGTGATTGATTTTTACAAGGAGATACATGGGTTTATAAAGAATTACAAGAGAATATGACGAGTCAAACTTATTATCCACTTCATAGAGGTACATTCCCTTGGGTCTGAAGTAGTACGACTCGATAAGCATGACTCGGGTAACCACTCGTGCTGTAGCCGGGACACTACAGTATGTGTCCTTGCTGTCGCTCAAGTTGGTTTGGCCCTTGAACTTCTGACTGCTGAGTTGCCACGTCAACGGTCAGTGATTGTTGCAATTCGCAACCTCCATCGTGTGTCGTCATGCTGTGTCAACCGTCGAGGGGTACTGTAGCACGGTTAACTTTGCCTATCATCGATGTTGCCTTACCAGCGTATTATGGTAATCGCAATACTCTGAACTGCTTAAAACTTCTCTTTATCATTTCCAACACTCCCCTTAATGTCTGGAGTGTCAATGTGTGCGACGCTGGTGACGTGTTGCAGTCCAGTTAGTAGCATGCAGTGTCAACTTATACAGTACATCTGCATTATATATAGAAGTTATTGGCTACATAGGGTTGTGTTCTTAGAGGGTACAATACCAACCCTATATCACTCATGCATTGCCTCGTTTCTAGTTACTTCGCTACTCTGCGATGGTATCAGGCTAGGTAGGTCCCACCCACCCGCGCTTCCGACCCAGCCTACCATAAAGCGCCGCCCCTAGCCCTAGCCTGCCGAGCCGCGTCGGCCCTCAGCTCGTCAAGCCGCGCTGGCCCCTAGCTGCCGCGCCGCCCTAGCTTGCCGCGCGGCCCTGTCTCGCCGTGCGGCCCTAGCTCGCCGCAACGGCCCCAGCTAGCCGCGCGGCCCTCCACTCGCTGCCGGCCCCAGCTCGTCGCCGGCCCCTCAGCTCGCCGCGGCCCCCGCTTGCCGCCAGCCCCAGCTCGCCACGGCTCCCAGTCTGCCGCGGCCCCCGCTCGCCGCCAGCCCCAGCTTGTCGCGCGGCCCTAGCTCGCCGCGGCTTCCATCTTGCCATGGTCCCCGCTCCTGCTGGCCCCTGCTCGCCGCCCAGCTCCAACTCCCCGCGGCTCCCAGCTCGCCGCCGGCCCCCGCTCGCCACCAGCCCCAGCTCGCCGCCGGCCCCTCAGCTCGCCGCCGGCCCCAGCTCGCCGCGACTCCCAGCTCGCCGCGGCCCCCGCTCGCCGCCGGCCCCAACTCGCCGCGGCCCATCTCACCGCCGGCCCTTCAGCTCGCTGCAGCCCCCGCACGTCGCCGCCTCCAGCTCGCAGCGGCCCCCGCTTGCTGCCGGCCCCATCTCGTCGCGCGGCCCTCAGCTCGCCGCCGGCCCCGCCTCGCCGCCAGCCCCAGCTTGTCGCGCGGCCCTAGCTCGCCGCGGCTTCCATCTTGCCATGGTCCCCGCTCCTGCTGGCCCCTGCTCGCCGCCCAGCTCCAACTCCCCGCGGCTCCCAGCTCGCCGCCGGCCCCCGCTCGCCACCAGCCCCAGCTCGCCGCCGGCCCCTCAGCTCGCCGCCGGCCCCAGCTCGCCGCGACTCCCAGCTCGCCGCGGCCCCCGCTCGCCGCCGGCCCCAACTCGCCGCGGCCCATCTCACCGCCGGCCCTTCAGCTCGCTGCAGCCCCCGCACGTCGCCGCCTCCAGCTCGCAGCGGCCCCCGCTTGCTGCCGGCCCCATCTCGTCGCGCGGCCCTCAGCTCGCCGCCGGCCCCGCCTCGCCGCAACTTCTAGCTCGCCGCTGGCCCCAGCTCGCCGCGCGGCCTCCATCCCACCGCCGACCCCAGCCTGCCGCACCGCCCCACCTGGCCGCGCAGGCGTCCGCCCGTCTCGCCACCCCAGCCTGTCGCATTGGCCCCTGCTTGCCGCCGGCCCCCTTACATGCCGCCGGCCCTGG